CGGATCAGCACCGTAGTCCTCTGAGCATTGCACGTAGGGCCTAGGGGATGAACCTGGCCGTAATGCGGGACTTTCCGCACAGCATTCCAGCGGCCTTTCGAGGTTGCGTGCAACGTTGACGTTTTTTTTCTTTTTTTTCCCGATGTTTAAGGGCGTTAATCGGTGAAGGTGAACTTGTTTTTGAGTAGTGGATAAACTGGGTCACAGCATAAGTTGAGGGCAGCATGCCTGATTGGCGTGGACCGTGCTGTGGGATTTTTAAACGAAGAAGCTGCCGTATGGGTTGTGGAGAAATGCTCTGACGAGTTAGACGACTGTAGACACGAACTGGTGGACACTGTGAGCGTTTTCACATCACAGCTTGTTGTCGTTGTAATGCAGTTGAGAAAAAAAACTTAATCCTCTCCCAATGCTTTGACGCTCTTTCTGTTACACCATTGTAGTGTAGAGAAGTAATACGCGCATACAAAACAACAACAACATAATAATAATAAAGTTAAATATATCACACAGAAGCAAAAGCAATTATGGCCAAGCGTGTGGAGGTATTGCAGACGCAGCTGCCGGCGTACAACCGCCTGAAGACTCCGTACGAGGCGGAGCTTGTCGCGACAGCCAAGCAGATTACGGCTCCCGGCAAGGGACTGCTCGCCGCTGATGAGTCCGTTGGCTCGTGCGCAAAACGCTTCGCCCCACTGGGGCTTAGCAACACGGAAGAGCACCGCCGCCAGTACCGTGCGCTGATGCTCGAATGCGAGGGCATTGAACAGTACATCAGTGGCGTCATCCTGCATGATGAGACGGTATATCAAAAGGCAAGCACCGGTGAGACCTTTGTGGAGCTTCTGCGGCGCAAGGGCGTGGTGCCCGGCATCAAGACCGACATGGGCCTGAACCCCCTGCTGGAGGGTGCCGAAGGTGAACAGATGACGGAGGGCCTTGACGGCTACTTGAAGCGTGCACGGAAATACTACTCTCTGGGCTGCCGCTTCTGCAAGTGGCGCAACGTGTACAAGATCCAGAATGGCACAGTGTCGGAGGCCGCTGTGCGATTCAACGCTGAGACTCTTGCCCGCTACGCCGTGCTTTCGCAGATGGGCGGCCTTGTCCCCATCGTGGAGCCTGAGGTGATGATTGACGGTGTGCACGACATCGAGACGAGCCAACGTATCTCGCAGCACGTGTGGGCGGAGGTGGTGTCCGCCCTGCAGCGTCACGGTGTGGTGTGGGAGGGTTGCCTGCTGAAGCCTAACATGGTGGTGCCCGGCGCGGAGTCCGGAAAGAAGGCGACGCCTGAGGAGGTGGCGCAGTACACCGTGTCCACGCTCGCACGTGTGCTTCCCCCGGCGCTCCCCGGCGTGAACTTCCTGTCGGGCGGCCTCAGTGAGGTGCAGGCCTCGGAGTACCTGAACGCCATGAACCGTTGCAGTCTGCCTCGCCCGTGGAGTCTGAGCTTCTCCTACGCCCGCGCCCTTCAGTCGAGCGCCCTCAAGGCGTGGGGCGGCAAGGACTCCGGCATCGCGGCTGGTCGCCGTGCCTTTATGCACCGGGCCAAGATGAACTCGCTTGCGCAGCTCGGTCGCTACAACCGCGCCGACGACGACAAGGAGTCGGGGTCGCTCTACGTCGCTGGCAATTCGTACTGATCGTCACGGTTTACCTCAACCCGCAGTCGTCCGGAAATTGTTCATATTTCATGTATTTCCTGGGAAATGTTTTTCAGCGTGACGAATTAGAATAGGAACCTCTTTCACTTTTGTGGAAAAGTGGAATTGGGCGGAGCGGATCAGCACCGTAGTCCTCTGAGCATTGCACGTAGGGCCTAGGGGATGAACCTGGCCGTAATGCGGGACTTTCCGCACAGCATTCCAGCGGCCTTTCGAGGTTGCGTGCAACGTTGACGTTTTTTTCTTTTTTTTCCCGATGTTTAAGGGCGTTAATCGGTGAAGGTGAACTTGTTTTTGAGTAGTGGATAAACTGGGTCACAGCATAAGTTGAGGGCAGCATGCCTGATTGGCGTGGACCGTGCTGTGGGATTTTTAAACGAAGAAGCTGCCGTATGGGTTGTGGAGAAATGCTCTGACGAGTTAGACGACTGTAGACACGAACTGGTGGACACTGTGAGCGTTTTCACATCACAGCTTGTTGTCGTTGTAATGCAGTTGAG